CAAAGCCCACACACATACACATTTTAGAAAGATTGAATTACTGTTTTTAAACTACAAATTTCCCATGATTTCCATCGAACGTTCATATCTACTCGAAGCGTATCTTAACGTGAACAAATGACGTCATATATTATGAAATGGACAATTAACCAACGCTTCCTTCGTAGCTAAACTGGTATAGCACGTCATGCTATATGACGGTTTCGTGTGGGATACAGGTTCGATTCCTATCGGAGGACGCATATTTTCTATGAAATTTCTCGGACATTTAGTTCGGTAATGTTGAACACTGTTTGTTATAAACAGAGCAATTACGTAAATATTTGTGTCTATATAAATAATGTATAGCAATAAAATATATATATATATATATATATATATATATATATATATATGAAGAAAAATATACAGAAAAAACAAACAAAAGTCTTAATATGCAATTATGCTGTATTAATGTTAATATAAAATCGACGTCGGACGTTTCGGTCTATTTTAGACCATCTTCAGGACATTTTCATTAAACATAATTAACATTAGAACATATAAAATTCAACATGAAAAGACGATGGAAAGAACACAACTAATCCAAACAGATAACTGAAATTTTTATATAAGATCAGCGTTCCGTTTAAATATGATCACGTCGTCGTCACGTGGGCGATGTTGTGAAAACGTATTCGAAGATGATTTCCAAATATTAAAATATTAAAAAAGTCGATTGAACTATTTTATATAAACAGTTCAAGAAATCCCTTCCGTTGATATAGGAATACGCAGAGATCAATAGGTTCTTATATCTTCATACAAGCTTGAAGTCCTCCACGTTACAAAGCAAATCAAAAATGATTCCAAAATATCAGAACGATGGAACAATTTTAAAAAAACAATTCGATAATAAATCCTTTCCTTACTTGATCAATAGATTCTTATATTTTCGTACAAGCTTGAAGTCTTCCATGTTATAAAGTAAATTCAGGTTTGTATTTCCAGTAGACAGTATGTAAGCAAATATATGGATATAGATCCGACAGTATGAAGAAAAATATACAGAAAAAACAAACAAAAATCTTAATATACAATTATATATATATATCCATTTGACCTTGAACACTAAGTTATACGATTCTCGCTCACTGTTTATAGCAGTACTTGGAAGGAAAGTGTGTAGAGTGTGGTTGTCCCACTACACCAAGAGGTTTTTAAAGTAGTTTTCGGTCAAGAACAACGCTCCCATGGTCCAACAAGCATTATATTCCTCTTGCGACTTTTTCTTCTTCAAAAATCAAATCCCACTTGACAGGAATAAGATTTCAAGACATCGAGGCAATTCAAGAGGATGCAGTGACAGAAATAGTGAACCAGAACCGGAGTCAAATGGCAGAAATGGTGAACAGGACTTGCCTTATTCTCGATGAAAGAGAGTTTTTTTTTTCTTTTTTCTGGCATGTAGGACATCGATTTGAGAAAAGGCGAGTACGTTGTTCTGTCAAAAGAGTCCCTTTGTTGTCCCACAAGAACTTGGTTCATTAGCAACTGTGTATAATATTAGTGTGGTTCTGTTGAAATACAGATACATTGAGGCAGGTGTTCGCTATCTCAAAAAGAAGTTCTAGGATTGCTTCTATTAATATAAACGACGCTGGATAAAGTGTGTGCTTTCAGAAGGGGGACTAATTCGAAGGAGATTAAATGCCGAATTGATATGTGTTGTAATTTTCCTTTTATAGCACCAAAGGTTTCCGGACACATCACATTGAAACACCAGTACCCGGATGAACACCAAAGTTAAGTAACGTCGAGACTGGTCAGTACCCAGATGGGTAACCGCTTCGGATTACCAGAATGTGCGGATGGTGTACTGGATAATGGCTCAGAATTGTTAATCGGAGAGCCGAGTTCGAATTCCCATTAGATTCATTGTATTCACTTGCGCAAAATAACCTTGGGAAAGGTAAGAATCCATCTCTTCTTCCCTAAGCTATGGGTTAATTAGTAAGACTTGAATCAAACAAAATCAAGCAAATTAAATCAAGTATTTTATACCACCAGTGTCAATACTGTTTGATCAGAACTTGTATGTGTGTGTGTGTGTCTCATCAATAAACTATAAGAAATAAAAACGATTGCAAAATTCACCAATCAATTATTTAAGTGAAAGAACAAAAACCTGATGAGTCAAAAAACGACGAAATTTAAGTAGCTGATTGGTAAGTTTTCAAATCGTTTTTATGTCTTATAATTTATTGATGCAATATTACTCTGTGATTTATATTCGATCGCATTGGTGAGGCTGGTGCACACTACTATTAGTACTATTAGTACTGCATATTGTGCTTAAAACGGAAAGTTCTTGGGAGTGCCCCTATTGAATCTTACCAAAATATAAATCTTCGCACCGGATTTTTTCAAATATCTCCTTTCCTAAAATATAGACTTTTTCCCCCAAGCCAACATACATAACCATAAAAAAGTTTTAATTAAAATAAAATGTTTAAAATCAAAAGCTATTATTTAAAATAATTAAATACATAAATAAAGGAATTAAAATAGAATAATATTTAGTAATTACATTATTTTAAAAAAGTAAATAAATAATTATATATAAAAATAAATAAAAAAGATTCAGCAACAACAACATTTACTCCTTTTCGTTTATTAGGCATTAAATTATATCATTTAGTGCCCTCCATAGTTTACCATGACTTTCACATTTTGGGCCTAAAGAATATTTATAAATGTTCTTAAATTAAAAATTATGAAAGCCTAACGAAGTCGTTACTTCTGTTTATAATACATGTTGCAAAATCAAATTCCTTGCTATGATAAAGTGTTATTAGATGACGAAACACGTTGGTAAAAATAGTTTTTCTAATATCCAATTTATATATATATGTGTGTGTGTGTGTGTGTCTGTGTGTGTGTGTGTGTGTGTGTCTGTGTGCGTGTGTGTGCGTGTGTGTGTGGCTGAGTCACAAGTAATTTCTGTTTCAGGGAACCAATTGTAATGATGAATGCATCATCCAAAGTACTGTTTTTCTTTGTTTTGTTTTTTTTTGTGTTTTGTTTTCACGGCAATGGCAGAGTTGATTAAAGAATACATTTCGTAACCTCATAAATGGACGTATTAAAAATGGATGTCACATATTGTTAGGGGACTTCAAGCAAGGAAATAACACTATAGAGACATCTAGAAAATATACTTTGAGTCCAAGGATCATAACCTACCCGGAAGTATGAAATTTGAGTCCAGGGTCATAACCTACCCAGAAGTATGAACTTTGAGTCCACGGGTCATAACTTTGAGTCCAATGTCATCAGAACTTTAAGTTCAGGGTCATTTTAATTAAAGTATAACTTTGAGTCCTGGGGGTCATATACCTTATGGGTGATAACTGAACTTTGAGTCCAGGGTCATAACCTTCCTTTAATTATGAACGTTTAGAAGTATAACCTACTTTCTTTGAACTTTCAAAAAGTTTTGTTCTGAAGAAATGTCTTCGAATGATATGCACACCCCGGAGCATTAATCGAACGTTGATGATGCAACTCTAAAGTCAGCAGCGGAAAGCACTCCACGAATTATAAATATTATATTAAACATATTATGTATAGAAATAAAAAGAAAGAACAGTAAGATATATAATCCGGTGTTCTTATAGATATTTTTATTTTTACAAAATAGTGCTCAATGTAAATTTACAGAGCATAATATTATAAATTAATTGATTTAAAATATGTTTTTTTTACACAGTTCTAACTATGTTTCAAAAATAGAAGCTAAAAGCCACGAATTTAATTTTGCAATTAAATTAAAAGCATTAGTTCCATTTCATCCTCAAGCGAATTCGTGTAGCGGAAAAAAACATATTTTAAATCAATTAATTTATAATAATAAACATATTATAATCTACCATATGGCGACCCTCAAAAAGGATAGTGAAAGTCAGCAAGCTGTGTTATTTGGGTTCCACATGTTCTTAGCGAAAAGAACAAAATGGATTATCGTTTATCCGTAAAGAAAAAGTCTTCTTTTTTTAAAAGAGAAATAAGCTGTTCCTTAAATATATCATAACAGGTGGTGAAAAATGGGTTCCACGTGACACAAATGCTACAGATTGACGAAGATATATTTCCACAACCTAACCCAAATTCTGCCACTCCATGGAAGAAAGGTAAAGGTGCTCGTGTTTTGGGGTATTATACCTTCAGACTTCTTAAAACGTCCATTTATAAATTCAGCAGCTGCACAGCGTTGATAAACTCGTCAAGAGACAAAATGTTCTACCCGACTAGCCATTTTCAATTCACCTTGCTCTGACCGGTCATTACCTTTTCAATCACGTTAATAAGAAAAGCTTTCTCTAATGAAAACCAGATTCAAATGCTCGTCAAAAAAACTTTTCACTTCAAAACCTGCCGAATTTTACTCCAAAGTTTTTGAAGAGTTACCTGATAAATGGCAAGAAGTCATTGCAAATATTAACGAATATAGAATTGAATAAAATGTAACTGTATTTTATTTTTTGAAGCATAAATTTGAAAAACAAAAAGGAAATTACTTACGACTCATATACATCAGCAGAAATTTCTGCAATCGATAGAAATTTGCGCTTTAAAATATAAATTAAAAAGAATTTTTTTTTAAGAGAATTGTTAGGTCTATGTGTAAAAGTTCACAGCGTCCTCTTTTCCAAAAGTGAGAGTCTGAATACAAGAAAACATTAGAGAGTAACCCATTAAACATAAGGGGAGATTATCTATGGCTTGCGAGTAATCCAGTCGATAGTGATTGTGTCCCTTGTGTCAATCTTTTATTGTGTTTGTTTTAAGTAATGAGAGTTGCGAACATTAAAAATAATGGCTCATAAGTTACGAGGGACACGGTTTTAGATGACGCTTCAACATGATACTCGTCTGACCCACTTATTATACATATACCATATCAGGTGTCATAAATCAAATAGCAAATGAGTATGAAATATTCTTGTTGGTTTCAAAGGTCAGAGATGGAGATGAGAAGAAAAAAAAAGAAAGAAGAGATTGAGAGAAGAAAGAAAGAAAGAAAAAAGAAAGAAAGAAAAAGAAAGAAAGAAAGAAAGAAAGAAAAAAGAAAAAAAGATGGACAGATGGAAAAAAAAATAAAAGGATAAGAAAAAGGGGAGAAAATTAAGAATACAAAAAATAGGAAGGGAGAAATAAATAGTGCAGTAAAATTTTATGAGAAAGAGAGAGAGAGAGAGGAAATAAGAAGGATTAACGGTGGAAAGGAGTAGACAAAAGAAAGGGAAGGTAATGGAAGCGTTGAAAAGGTTAGAAAGGGGAGGATAGTGAGAAAAGAAAAGAGAAAGAAGAGAGAGGAAAGGATGATATTGAAGGGAAAAGAAAAGAGAAAGGTTGGTGAGAGTAAAAAGAAAGGAGAGTAAGGGAGGCACAGGTAAGAATAAAGGAGATGGAAATGGAAATAAAGAGCGTAAAAAGAATAAGGATATGAGAAGAAGAAGAAGAAGAAAAAGAAGAAGAAGAAGAAGAAGAAGAAGAAGAAGAGAAAAAAGTGAAGTTGAAGAGCAAAAAGAGGGAAAGCAAGAGAAGAATAGGAAAGGGAATAAAAAGTCATAGATTTGCAACAATAAGCGTTGATCAAGAAGTACTAAGAAGTACTAAGAAGATAGAGAATTAAAAAAGAAATTCGAAGAGGAAAAAAATCTGCGACATTTTCTTTTCCATTGTATTTCTTTTGTTAGAAAATCACTTCCTAAACTCCAACCAATGGATTTATCACCCTACGAAGCCAATACATCGACATTAACTGTTTCATTTCCAGCGACTGAAATACAACGGTTTTTCAATATAAATATTCGCCATCTTTTACTGAAGATGCCATCAGAACAGCAAACAAGGAAATTAAAATCTGATTGTCTCATGTCCTGTTTGTCTCATGTGAAAAATTGTTACCTTGGATTTTATTCTTTCATATTTTTCAATATTTTTATTCCAACTTTTTACTTTTTTTTTTTCTTCGTTCAGATCTGTCTCTGTCGTTCCTCATTTTTCTTTCACGCGCGCCCTTTTCTTCTCTCTCATCGCTCGTCGCTTTTTCATCCAACCATGTCAATATCGGAATTTTCTCCATCGCTTTTCCTTTTTCTCTTATCTTTTCAACATTCTTATTTTTATCATCGACATTTTTCCAGCTTTCCATTTTCCTTCTCTTTTCCTTGTTTTTGTTTTCTCTCCCCCCACTCTCTCTTTCTTTCTTTCTCTCTCTCTCTCTTTCTTTCTTGTCTTTATCACTTTTTCCTTTTTCTTTTCTTATCCACTTTCTCTTTCTCTCTCTTTCCCTCTCTCTTTCCTTCTCTCTCTCCCTCTCTCTCTTTCTTTCTTGTCTTTATCACTTTTTCCTTTTTCTTTTCTTATCCACTTTCTCTTTCTCTCTCTTTCCCTCTCTCTTTCCCTCTCTCTTTCCCTCTCTCTCTTTCTTTCTTGTCTTTATCACTTTTTTCTTTTCTTATCCACTTTCTCTTTCTCTCTCTTTCCCTCTCTCTTTCCTTCTCTCTCTCCCTCTCTCTCTTTCTTTCTTGTCTTTATCACTTTTTCCTTTTCTTTTTTTATCCACTTTCTCATTCTCTCTTTTTTTCTCTTTCCTTTCTCTCTTTTCTCCTTTCCTCTTTCTTTCTTGTCTTTATCACTTTTTTCTTTTCTTATCCACTTTCTCTTTCTCTCTCTTTCCCTCTCTCTTTCCCTCTCTCTCTCCCTCTCTCTCTTTCTTTCTTGTCTTTATCACTTTTTCCCTTTTCTTTTCTTATCAACTTTCTCTTTCTTTTTTTCCCTTTCTTTCCTCTCTCTCCCTCTCTCTCTTTTTTGTCTTTTTATCCTTTTTTTTCTTATCCAAAAATTTTTCTTCTTTTTATATTCTTTTCCTTCTTCTCTCCCTCTTCTCTTTTTTCTTGTCTGTATCACTTTTTCCCTTTTCTTTTCTTATCCACTTTCTCTTTCTCTCTTTCCCTCTCTCTTTCCTTCTCTCTACACCCCTCTCTCTCTTACATTCTTGTCTTTATCACTTTTTCCTTTTTCTTTTCTTATCCACTTTCTCTTTCTCTCTTTTCTTTTTCCCTTTCTCTCCCCTTTCTCTCTTTCTTTTTTGTCTTTATCTTTTTTTTTTTTCTTATCCACTTTCTCTTTCTTCTTTCCCTCTCTCTTTCCTTCTTCTCTCCCTTTCTCTTTTCTTGTCTTTATCATTTTTTTTTTCTTTTCTTATCCTTTCTTTTCTCTCTTTTTTTTCTTTCTTTCCTTTCTCTTTCCCTTCTCTCTTTCTTTCTTGTCTTGTTTTTTTTTTTTTCTTTTTCTTATCCACTTTCTCTTTCTCTCTCTTTCCTCTCTCTTTTCCCTCTCTCCTCTCTCTCTCTTTCTTTCTTGTCTTTATCACTTTTTGAAATTTTTATTCACTTTCTCTTTCTCTCTCTTTTTCTTTCTCTCTTTCCTTCTCTCTCTCCCTCTCTCTTTTTTTTCTTGTCTTTTCTCTTTTTTTCTTTTCTTTTCTTATCCAATTTCTCTCTCTCTTTTTTCTCTTTCCTTCTCTCTACACCCTCTCTTCTTTTTTCTTGTCTTTCTCTTTTTTTTTTTTCATTTTTTATCCACTTTCTCTTTCTCTCTCTCTTTCTTTCTTTCTTTCCCTCTCTCTCTTTTTCTTTCTCTCTTTCTTTCTTTCTTTATCACTTTTCAAAATTATCCACTTTCTCTTTCTCTCTCTTTCTTTTTTTCTTTCCTTCTCTCTCTCTTTCTCTCTCTTTTTTTCTTGTCTTTATCACTTTTTCCTTTTCTTTTCTTTTCCAAAATCTCTTTTCTCTCTTTCCTTTCTCTTTTTTTCTCTCTTTCTTTCTCTCTCTTTCTTTCTTGTCTTTATCACTTTTCTTTTCTTATCCAATTTCTCTTTCTCTCTTTTTTTTCTTCTCTTTCTTCTCTCTTTTTTCTCTCTCTCTTACATTCTTGTCTTTATCAAATTTCCTTTTTCTTTTCTTATCAAAATCTCTTTCTTCTCTTTCTCTCTCTCTTTCTCTCTCTCTCTTTTTTCTTTCTTTCTTGTCTTTATCACTTTTTCCTTTTTCTTTTCTTATCCACTTTCTCTTTCTCTCTCTTTCCCTCTCTCTTTCCCTTCAATTTCCTCTCTCTCCCCAAAGGTTTTTCTTTCTTGTCTTTATCACTTTTTTTTTTTTTCTTATCCACTTTCTTTTTCTCTCTTTCCCTCTCTTTCCTTCTCTCTACCCCTCTCTCTTTTTTCTTGTCTTTATCACACTTTTTTTTTTTTCTTTTCTTATCCACTTTCTTTCTCTCTTTCCCTCTCTTTCTCTTTTTCCTCTTTTCTCCTCTCTCTTTCTTTCTTGTCTTTATCACTTTTCCTTTTTTTTTTTTAATTCCACTTTCTTATTCGTTTTACTGGTATTTTGACGTTTATTATTTTCTTTCTTCCGCCTCTTTTTTTTTCCTCGCCTTTTTTCTCATCTTCTCTTCTGTTTGCTTTCCTTTTCTTTCTTCTTTTCCTTCTCTCTCTCTCTCTCTCTTCTGTCTCTTTCCTCCTTGTAGTTCTTTCCATTGCTTCTTCTTCATCTTCCTTTCCTTCTGTCATTCTTTCTATAATCCTAAAAAGCTTTCCTTTTTCTTATTGCAAAAAAGCCAAGATAAAAATTGGGTATGATTTCCCCAGTGGTGGGCTTCTGACGACATTAACTCCATCGATGGATTGACCTCTGGTTGTAACATCGAAATGATGATAACGTTAATGTTAATGGAAATGCTTAGAAGGCACACTACGGTGACAGTGAGGACATTAATGAACAAAGAATTTTCGCATAAAACTTGGCGATGTCGACACTATGAAAGAATTGCGTCTTCGAGAAGATAGACGATAACGGTCTTTTGAGGAATGTCTGCGTCAGTCTTGCAGAATGGAAAGAAATTGGAAAATTTACAACCAGCAAAGTTTTCAGGATGTACTTCTATAATAAATATACATGTGATTTCCAACTTATTAAACGGAGTTATAATATTTACTTTTTCCCTCTAATGTGAGATTTTATTATGCAGCTCGAGAATTCTTCATCCTAGTTTATATAATTACATAATTACTAGTATTTATTTTTTTTAATTTCCTATATATGAATATTGGCAAATGTCTAATCACAACAGAGAAACAAAATATTGTGAAGTTATTGAGTAATGGAATACAACATTGGAAATTGCGAAAACGTAGAACAGAGAGATCAGAGAATAACCAAAAGAGAAATTGAAAGAACTGGCAAGAGCAAGAAATTCTGGCTTTAACAATTCTAGAAAAATTAATTTGAGAATAAAAAAAGCCGTAATAAGCAAGAAACGTACAAAAAGAAAAAAAAAAGCTGAAGTTTGTGTAGCGAGTCTAAAGAGAGAGAAAAAGATTCAATTCTTAAGAACTTTGAAATTATGAAATCGGCCAAACATATTTAATTAAATTCCACAAAGATAGACGTGAAACTTTATTTTAATCGTTTCACTCCAAGCAAGGCAATAAAGCCACTATGACGCAATGGGGGTTACTGAGTGTTAGTGAATATGAGAAAAAGGCAAACATCATTAAGGAGAGAGAACAACAAAAAAGACAGAAATTGTTATATAGGAATAAAGTGTCGCTACTGGTATTTAAACACGGATCACCAGAAAGCAAACACATTTTAAATAAGTAGATCACGTGATAGTAAAGGATATATATATATATATATATATATATATATATATATATATATATATATATATATGGGAATTAGCGTGGCGTCTAATTGATCACCATTTCTATTCTATCCTCTATTACTATACGGATCGCTATCCTCTATCTCTATATTATTAACTATACTATTTCTCACTACACGGATCACAGTGGTTACTTTTCGAGCGAGTATTATCGAGCAAATACTATTAGTGCGAGTGATATTCGAAGGCGTCTGACACCAGAATTGTTCAACGGCGTTACTATAGTTGTATCTGCGATTACAAAGTCTCTACTACAACGAGCATTACGAAAATGGCAACGCGTATCCGTTGACATTCCAAAAGTGGCAACGAGTGTTCGTTGACATCACAAAACAAATTAAGAAGGCAGAAGATAACGACTGATTTAAAGTTTTGAAAATCAAAGTTGATAAAAGGCTATATCTAGACATTTCAGCTATAAAATGATGAGACCTAACTGCTAATCTATTACTGCGCTTGAATTTGTAAAGTCGAGGTACCAAAGAGAAAAGCTCATCAGAATAATTAGCATGAAAATATTTATAGGAAATGCACATGAAAGCTACGTTTGAGCGGTGGGAAAGAGCCTAAAACAGAGATGCCAGGTCAGGACAAATAACACTGCAAATTCTTCTTTGTATTTTATCATGAATCTCTAAATACATAGACCAGATGTGACAGCAAATTTCAATGCATGGACTTAAAAATGTGTAAGATAGATTCTGGCAAGAAAAAAATGTTTAACACAAGACAGTGAGTCAGGGACGAAACTTATCCAGTAGCGGATCTATCGACTGATTCAGTATAATATTTCCTCTTCATGTCAACGGAAAACTTTAGCCTGAAAAGGCGCAACGGCCCACTCTCCTGGAGGTTAGCATCAGCCATGATGACGAAAAGTAAAAGAAGATTATTAAAAGTGAGCAGTTTTGTTTTGCAGGCGTTGTTTTGTTAGCATTAACAAACCATTTCTTATCTCCGGCTCATTTGTTAGATCAGCCGCCAATTTGACTTATCGAACCGATCAGACTTAACATTAAAGTACCAGTAAATAGCTGTGTTCAGCATAGATACTGAGTTGATGATATCGGTTGAAAGAAGTTCAAAGTTGAACGAAGCAGTACATGAAAACTGATTTTCCATTTATTGATGAATGTAGAGCTATATTGGATGGACCTGATAGCTGTGGATCAGAGCGCCTTCGTGAAAATGGTCAGACAACATGAGTTAGAAAATGCCAGGAACTAGGCGAAGGTGTAATGTTCTTGGCTAATCGAGAAAATACGCCCTCCGGTAAGATTCGAAACTGCGTCCCTCTTCTCGTGTGTGCAAGACGGTAGAGGAAATAAAGTTTAAAATAAACGGAGCGTCTACTCAAATAACATTTAAAGTAATAAAAATGCTAGAATAAATAATAAAAGCCATTAATATATATATGACCGGAAAGATAGATGGCCGGGAAAGATATAAAATAGCATTGTTAACAAAACTTCTTAAATAGAACAAACACAAATTCCTTTTCCCAAAGAATATTTCTGAGTGAACTAAAACACATAAAACAAACATTAATCAACAATAATTTTCCCAACTACATTATTCATAAACAAATAAAATTATTCTTATAAAAATACCAGACAACACCACCGATAAAAATGCCAGACAACACGACCGATAAAAATACCAGACAAGAAAACATCAACATATTTTACTGCAAACAGATGCACAATAATTATAAGCAGGATGAATTCGCTACACAAAGAATCATTAAACGCCATATTTCTGCTGTAATTCCAGAAAAATATTTAAAATTTATAATATATTACAGAAAATGGAAAACCACGAACCTTGTTGTCACTAATCAAAATAAGCCAATCAAATCTAAAATAGCGATAATCACTATAGTTTGTCAATTTCACTGCCCAGTAAAAGACAGTGTTTCTTGTCACGAATCAATTACCTATATTGAACATACTACCACCTCCTTGAGTAGAGGCCTCACATATCACTTATCAGATCAAAGTGCCATAAAAACATCTATCTACCTACAGAAAAATTCTGATCAAAAACACTAAAATTCTTATATCAATCACACTACCGGAAACATCTCGCTATAAGAGAGGCCCTGTGTATTAAACATCTCCCTCTTATCAACCTCATCTGAGTAAACAATGGGTATGGAGTGTATTTATTTTTTAAATAGAAAAACGCTCACTCGAATTGCAGTCGTTCTCAAAACGCGAAGAATCGGAATAAATGATCCTAATAGTATTTAATGTAACACAAAAATAAAATAAATCATATACAGTCAAAACATGAAGAGAAACTAACAACACCTAAAAGAAAACACCTTTTAAAATGGCTAAACAAGTGACCCAAAGCGCAGTGAACATTATGGAAAAGTTTTGTACTCCCTTACTCCCATCAAACGGAACAACGTAAGAACGCTGGGAACACTAAATAAATAATTCATTTTTCCTTTTCTGCCATATTTAACGAGAGATGTGTTTAAAAAAAGGGTGTTATCCAAGAGACAAATGATCAATAATTAGTTTTCAAAACCAAAATAAACTCTTAAACGAGAAAACTGAAATAATGATTAAACGTAGACATATAAATATTTACTTCGCCATCTAAGTACTAAATAAAAATAAACAATTAAATATAAATAAAATAAATATAATATAAAGTTTTAAATAAAAAATAAAAGAAACAAATATAAGCTTTAAATAGATAAATAAATGAAATAAAAAATATAATACAAACTTTAATGAAATAACGGAAACAAATATAATATAAACTTAATTTATTAATAACCAAATAAAGGAACAAATAGTAAACATCTATACGCGTGTGTACATATGGATATATACACACACACACATGAATAAAGAGCAAAAATTGAATAGAACAGATATATGTATACATATGTATGCATATATATACCAATATACACGTGTGAATAGATGTGTATGAGTGCACATCCATAAGCATACAAATAGACATATGCACATAAATTGTAACAATGATAGATAAATTTAATTATAAATCTAACCTCCTACAATTAACACTTATGATACCACCAAAGTAAATTAAAAAAATGAATAATAATAGCCTAGTGAAGAGATATATATATATATATGTATGTGTGTGTGTGTGTGTGTGTGTGTGTGTGTGTGTGTGTGTGTGTGTGTGTGTGTGTTGTTACGAATTCGTAACATATTAAGGTATGAGCCTCCTGTTCAAAAAAGAAACGGTGGGGTTCGTTCAGAGAGGAACACACGAACAGTTGCCGACGAACAACAAACACAAACTGAAAAATGTGTCAATAAATTTAAGATAACAAAATATGAAATATGAGAAAAGTATGGAGTGACAGACGTACAATTAATAAAAGAACACTTAACTGATATTGGATGTCAATTGAAACGTTTGTGTTTCAGGAATTTGGAGTTCAAAGGCCCGTAATGACAGACAGACAAAGTTGCTGTAAAGTTGGTTGATCTTTCTTCCGCAATATAGGATTCCGGAATAATGTTTTTGTTCTGTTTCCTCTTGGTTAATTGGATTGCATTCAAGATGAAAGATGTTTTCTTTGTATCTACTTGGGTACAATCTTCCTTTATCCTTTACCCGTTAAATAGTCAACTAGATCCAAGATCTGTGGGACGAAATTTCTTTATTCCATACACAGCAAGTAATGGAATAGTTTTGTGGGTGAATTTCTCATTCTTTACGATCGCATGATGAAAGTCTATTTTTTCACGAATTGTTGTCGTTGGGGATCATCGGGAAACTAAAATTACAATACTAAGATCCCATTTGGTGATGTATATCACGTGAGCGTAGTTGACCGATTCTTACTCACTTTCTTTGGAGGACATTCTGTTTGTTGTCAAGCGACCGCAAATTCCTTTCCTGAACTTCCTTCGCCGAAACCCGACTCCGTCTAGATAGGTAGTAAAACAACAAATAGAGAGAAAGGGCATCTGTTATTAAATTGATTGTGCGTCTGATTTAAAAGTAAACATTGAGCGCCCTGTCACATTGTATATATGTGTATGCGTATATATAACTTTTAACATTTACAAGTATTATATCACTAGTATCATATATATATATATATATATATATATATATATATATATATATATATATATATATATATATATCATTTAATGATTAATATCAATTATTGATGTAAAATACATAAGAAACGAAATGTAAGAATCCTAGCAAAAAACAAAAATGCCCATAAATAAAAAATAAAAATCGGATACATGTTGAGAGTCGAAAAAAAGACAAAATCAACAACAGTCGGAAAAAAGGAGAACAAAAAAAGAGAAAAAAAATGAAGAAAAAATAAGCGCGTCTAAGAAACGAAGAAAAAGGGCAAAAATAACCAGACTCCATACACATACATCAGGCGAACACACAGCCACAGAGACTGTCATATGGCTGCACACGCACACGAAAAAAAGTAGCAAATTGCTGATACCCCCTGAAGAGTGGACCGACGTGACGCTAGAGTCGGGATGCTGAAGGTAACAACAATCAGCTAAGTGAGAAACTTTTATTCACATTAATCCTATATATATATATATATATATATATATATATGTGTATGTGTGTGTGTGTGTGTGTGTGTGTGTGTGTGTGTGCATGTTCGTGCGTATGTGTACATATCTATCCATCTACAAGAGGCCCTTGACCCCAAAATCTCAATTCACTGATATTTCAATATAATTACTCTTCTACAATCATTAGCAATATTCTTACAAATTCTTTCCTGTAAATGTTTACATACAACTATTTTCATATTCTGAAAATACCTATTTGAACTTTTACATATCTTTACCTACGTATTGTAATGTTTATCACAAAATATATATCGAAGAGATTGACTAAAAACCAAAGAAAACATTTTCACATTAAAAAAAAAACAACTACAGCTATTTGTTAATGTCTCCATAGCAACAAAGAAGATTTTTCTCCTTTTAATAACATAACTCGAACTGCTAGTAAAGATTTTCTTTTATTATTTGACAGATTCTCTTCAAACAAATTGCTGAGAATTTGACATATTCTTTAGAAATCGACATAATCAAATTATCGAACATTAACCAATGGCATCTTGAAAAACATTCTTAATGATGTTAAATAATCAGAAATCTTTGATGGTTCAACTGAAGATTCCGAATAAGAATTGACAGCAATTTGCTTTTCAGAAGAAATATCAGGAAGTAAACTGTAAAATGGTAGCTAAAAATTGAAATATGTTGAGAAATTGAAAAGTGTTCATTTGTTTTGCTGTTTTTTTTTTTTTTTTTGATAAACAGAGTTGACATTGATTCATAAAAATGAACGGCAATTTCTTTTTAGAATTCTAAAATGCTGAAGATTTTCTACCCTAGGAAACGGTTAAATATTTTCAGGTCAAATTATCGATTATTTTCGTTTGCTTCAGAATGGAACTGGAAAAGGAATTTAGGATTAATCTATGGCAAATGAATGTTCTGTTTCTTTCAACAAAAGAAGACACTATTTCTACTTATAAAATTCCTTTAAATACAGTTTTGGCTGGCAGTAAATTAGGTGATAAAATGATGATAAATGATAAACAGCCTCTCTTGAAAATCAGCATTCAAATCCCTGAGTTTTAACTTTGATTCGAACATCGATATTTAATGCGAAGAAGGAGACTGCAAAAGTCGTTAGCGACAAGCCCCCCCCCCCCTCTACTATTTATATTTGGGGAAAGAATTGACTGAAAATATAGTCAGGTTTAATTGTGCGTTTGAAATTTCAGGCTTACGTTTCAATATCTATCTATCTATCTATCTATCTATCTATCTATCTATCTATGACTAGGACTCTTCAGCCTTTGGTGGTAACGGTTCTAAGAGAAGGACAAATAAATTAAAAATCTTGTAACTGAATCTATCATCTGTCTTCTTGAGCATACTTGTCATTGGATTCAGGTAATTGATGTTCCCATAGTAGTGTTCATATTGCACACGCACGCGTCTCTCATTAGAATCTCACTAATAAACAGGTACATGTTTACATTATTGAACCAAGCAACGGTTAACTTTAAAAAAAAAAGAGGTTATACTGGATATCAAGTATATATATATATATATATATATATTTGTCTGATTTAATAAATTAAAAACATCATGTCTACTTATTTTTATCATAATCTTTTCATATTCACGAATATTTTTCCAAATATTAGAATTCGATAAAACATTTATTTCCTTGTTCAATTGTAATATACGGAAAAATATTCGTGAACATGAAAGGATTATCATAAAAATAAACAGCCATAATGTTTGTAATTTATTCATTCAGACATGCCTAAAAGAGACTTTGCTGCCTAAATACACGCACGCACACACACACACAGACACAGACACACACACACACACACACACACACACACACACACACACACATATATATATATATATATATATATATATATATATATATACAACAACTCGGCCACCTGCCATATCTTTTAATGCACTAATGAATCCTATAGAAATCTCCAAAATCCCCAAATCCAGCACCATAGTGCCCAAAACTCAAACTTGCATCCTGCTTTCGTCAAAGCTTCCCATACCTGCCGTGGACTCCTGACAATGTAAACATATCCATTGTTCGCCTTTGATGTAGTCAAAGTTAAAAAGAAAAAAGGCAAATATAAAATATATTGATAAATATTAGGATTGCTATTGGATGTCTGTGTATGGATGCTTGTGTTTTTTGATAGTATCAAAAAATAACATCCTACACACAGAGCTTTGCACACATTTATACCTAATAGTGTGCGTACATTTAGATTCGAGTGTAACATCGCTCATAGAAGTCAGGCAAATATTTTTTTTTAAATTTAGAGACGACAGAGTTACTTATATCTTTTGACTGAAAAGTGTAAGAGAAAATCTGTTCCAAACAACCGGTGAACCAATTTTCTTAGCAGTTGATCTTGTAATTGATTCAGTATATTCTTTTCACTTCATGTTAATGGAACAAGTTAACCTGAGAAAGCGCAAATTAGTGATTCTTCTGGAGGCTAGATTCAGCCATACGGATGGAAGGGCAAAAAAATACTCTAAAAGAATAAAAAATGCCTGAAAGATCAATTTTACTTTAGAGGCATTAAAATTAACAAGACATTTCATACCCTTGTTAACAACAGACTGAATCTCATTTTATAGATCACCAGCCGATTTGACCATATCAAACCTTACCATTAAATCAATAGTAAATAATAGTTGTGTCATCAGCATAGATACAGAATCAAGAACTGTTGTTATCGGAAAGTTTATTGATGAAAATTATGAACAAAGTACGTTCAGCCCTGGAGGACATCTGCATTAATATAAACTGATTATGAATGTAAAAAAGTGACCATTCAAGATAATTTCGTTTCGAAATTTGATAAGAAAGATTGAAACAAATCATAAATTCAACCAGAAATACTGTTGTAGCATACCTACGGACGATAATGGGTATGTCCTTAATCACAAAAATACAGTAGTAAATGCTGTATGTTGGTCTGCATTTGGAGATTCGTCTCCAGCTATGCTGGTCAAACTCTCTGCTTCCGGACAGAGAGGATCCCCAGACGAGGCTATGTCGAAGGGCAGAGTTTCGTCTCGGGAAACAGCTAATCGACCCCGTTTTATACGAGTTCTACGGTGAATTTTTGGCTCGGATATCCCACATTAAATTCGGCCTTGTGCCAGATCTGACCACGTGGAGCAGTTTGTAGATGTTCTGTAGTTGGATATTCCTTGTGGAATTCACTTAACTCACTTCTAGCAGTTGACTACTTCTACGCACCGCTGGCAAATGTGTTGTTCTTGTCCTAAGTATTATTTTTCATTAACAACCTTCGTGCGATTATTTAATTCAGGAACCTTCCCTAAGTTACAACAAATACAATAACCCTTCAAACCTTAGACCCTTTCAGCAAGAAGAAAACCTTGTGAGGTAAGATGCTCAACCAGTTCAGAGTTGATTAGAGCCTCTAGGACGTTACCAAGGAGAGGTAGAATACTAATAGGTTAATAGAAGGATCAGACAGTTTCCCTGAATTCTTAAAAACAGTAACTATAGAAGAGAATTTCCAACAAGCAGAAAACCAAGAAGCAGCAAGGCATTTATTGTAGAGTTTAGAGAGAACAGGAAGCATTTCATCAGCACATTTCCTTAGGATTATTGCAGGGATGCCATCAAGTCTTGCATGCTTGTTGGTGAGGATCTGAGAGATAATAGCTGGCACTATTAATAGAGTTATGTGCATATCACACAGTAGAGACTCAGTTATAAGTGGAAAGTCAAGTAAAAACACTCCAGGTGATTCAAGAGTAAAATTGGAAGAGAATTTACAAGCAAGAAGATAATATCTCAAATTGAGTGAAGAGAGGGGTAATAGATGACTTACCCTTGTTTAACACACTATTACAGAGCCACCAGTAGTCATGAATACTAAACTTGTTAGAGGCTATATGCTGCCTCATTCTGTCAGCAAACAAAGACTTATCCCTATTGAGGGCATGTTTATAATTATCATAATTGTGATTGGAACTATCAAGTTGGTATGGCTAGAAAAAGTAATTCATGTGAACAGGCAGGTGTAAACCAAGGAGAAGATTGTGGTTTCACCTTGTATTTCTGAAATGGTCCAAAAGCAACAATGCTGGCTTTTACCCAAGAAGAAATCTGAGTGGTATAATTCTCAATACGAAAGTTAAAAATTTAACACCAAGCATTGCAAGAAAATCACAAAATGAATCCTAATCAGTATGCAGGTAACAGAAAGATGATTCCACAGTAAAATTGGAAGAGAATTTACAAGCAAAACATTCTGCTTTAGAAGCAGATGATAAACTTCAAATTCAGTAACGCGAGGAGGGATAGTCACCGGGTTGCGGAAAGGAACACGCAACCGTTTTTTCCAATACGTTGTCACTTTAAATACCGACGTTCTTCTGTTGCTAATAAGCTATGGTTGTTGAATTCTGATGTATATTTTTTGTTGTTGATTTTACTATTAATAATTCAGTAATTGATCACAAACAACGAAGTTCTCCTCCGAGCAAAGATGGAGAGTCTAGAAACCACCATGTCTCGCCACCGACTTTGATGGACCAGATACTTTGCCCGAATGCCAAACAAATCTTCTTCTGGGAGCTCGCTTTTAACAAGGGACCACGTAGAGCCCCACGTCGTCGAGTCAAGGATCAGCTGGAAAACACCTTGCTGAAGACAGAAATGGATCCGGTCAATTTGAAAACGGAAGCTTCAGAAAGAACCAATTGGAGAAGAGAAATCCACGAAAAATCATCCTTTGCAAAACAACAGAAGACAAAAAGAAGAGACAAAGATAACCGGAAGAAAAGCCATCGTTTGAGTCACCCCCCTCCCGTATCATTCGGTGGCTGAGGATGTCTCTTTAGATCCAACATGGCACTGATTTCACACACACAAACAAAAAGAAAATGTGATGAGCACATCAATACTCGCCGGCAACCAGTTCCGCCAAAGACGACGACGAATACAGTGACACAATTGACCAAACGAAGCATGACACATACTTCAATGAGAATCTCAGACATATCCTAGCTCTTACACAAGCACACATATAGACATGCTCATACATACACACATACACATTCAGGTACACATGCACACACACACAGATATAAAAAACATAGAGACACGCACACATATTATATTTTACACCACATAAGCTTCACTCCTGTAAGAAAAAGACTAAAATCATTCTGCGTTTTATACCATATTGTAAAATTTGGCTATATATAAATAACCCATAAATAGCACTCTAAAAACTAGTATATCAAATATTAGTACCCTAATGACTCCAGAAATATTAGCACCCTAATGACTCCAGAAATATTAGTAACCTAATGACTCCAGAAATATTAGTACCATAATGACTTCAGAAATAAATACTATTAGAAATAAATTTTGTTAAAATATATTTTTTAATTAAAAAAAGAACAGCTACACACAAATAGTTACAGTTTGTTTTTGTTTTTTTTTTCATGAATATTATTTAAGAAATCTTTTTTACAACGTTTCGGTTGTGTACCAATGTGCCTTCATCAGGTGCTTGTCGCTTTCCTCCATTGTCATGCGCTTCGGCTTTCCGTGGGATCAGGTGCTAGCCAAACCAGGGAGCTGCTACTTCTGTTGATATGTGAAGGTAATTTAGCACTATTATCCGGCGGAGACAACGAAGAGGAAGATGAGTCAATGTCCGATATGATAGAGCGGAGGAGGGTGAGGCATCAGGCCTGAAAGTGCCTTCATCGACGGGCAATTGATGATGATGATGATGATGATGATGATGATGATACCTCTGTCTATTATTTTTGAATTCATTCCATAAGGGTTGGTGTATGTCCCTTCACTAACACCCCCCCCGGGTAGAGCCAGTCATACCAGATGTTGAAGTGTTTTCCGTCTATTATAGTTTTCTGGTATATTTTAAATTCTATTTTTCAAGTCACTTAATTGGAAGCAGCTGTCATCAGTTATTGAGAGATACCCACAAGTTAATCAATAAGCTGGGCGAATATTTATAAAAATTTAACTTATTACAATGGCTGATTCCTTTTTTAGTACAATCATTTTTAACAACAATGTCCTCAAATTAGAAAACTACAGCATGGACCGAACATGTAAGCAACGACGAAGTTTTTGAGAAAATGGAAACAAAAAGGAAACTAATATTTAACACCAAGAAGAGGTTTCTGGAGCATATAATGAGGAGGGAAGGCTTGGAAAATCTGATACTCACAAGACAGATAGAGAGAAAGAGGGACTGAGGA